CTTCCAGCTCTTTTGAATATCGCTATTTCTGTTCCCGTTAAGAAGCTTTCTAATCCCGTTGAACCCAATTCCTTTATTTTTCTCTGCTGGTTTAGCCATGCATTTTGTTTCGTGTGGGTGGGGTTTTGTTGCCTTGTGTGCTTCCCCATCTGTGATGTCATCCCTCGGTCAAATCCCATGCCTGGCCTACAGGTTTCTAGACCTCACTGATTGCAACAATCGCCGCGAACCCTGAGAGGCAACAGGCCAAAAGGGTAGGGAGGGAAATGGCTGCCTTACCGTGTACAGCAGGAGCACCGAAACGAATTGTATGAGGCTGTAGAACGCCATGTATTTGAAGACGCCAAAGGAGGTGACCAGGGAGCATCTCCCTTCCCTAAAGGGGAGAGGCTTCCAGTCATCCTTCTGGGGGAGCTGGGATTGGGCTTATCCAGTGAGTTAACTTGAGAGAAATTCTGCACTCAGAAACTTCATCCCTGAGCTTTGTTTGTAAATGGATTTGAGAGAAGTTTACATCTTAAACAAGGCAGCGGCTTATGTGTCTTGAATTTCATGCAGAGCCTTTCCCTGAGTGTTCCCAAGGAGTAACTGAACCAATTAGAGAGGTGACACTTGACCAGTACCCTGCCCAGAGGCCCACGCACAGAATCGGGGGCCTGAGAGCTATAGGAAGACCTGCAGGGCCTCGTTTCACACAGATCAAAACTCTGTTGAAACCCCACCCAAAGCCAACATTTGCTTTGGTTCCACTGCTCTTTGAATGGAAACTCTGATGGATTTGACTGAAGGAAAAGGGTCCCCCCACTTCCTAGTTCTGGGAGGTAGCCCAGAGGGAAAAATTAAGTCTGGATTCTGGATGGGAAGTCCTCCTGTACTTCAGACACCTGTTACTTAACCAGATGTTCAAAGGCAGGGAGGTGGTCAATGTAGCTTACTGCAAGGATGCAAGATTTGAATTTCCCTCTCCCAGTGAAGTCAGCAAGATTCCCAACCCATTTCAGGAAAAGGAGGATCTGGATGGGAGCCATTGTGCCCCCAGAGAAAGATGGCCATTGATCAGTCACCAGCGGCTCCTGAAGAGGTAGATCCACCTCACCTACCTTATGGTGATGGGGACGCACTCGATGTCGGCCTTTTGGGAAGTGAACGGTGATACTGCCGAGGCCTCTGCTTCAGAGAGTGAGATCCCCACATCAGCTGCCTTCAGAGCCCCACAGTCGTTGGCGCCATCCCCACACATGGCCACACAGTAGCTGTAGGCAACACAGACCAATTGTTCCCTAAAGTGAAAGACTGATTCCCACCCTCTCTTGCTCTTTTTTCCAAAAAGGAAAAGGGGGATGGTCAACAAATCCAGACTTTAGTGTGGTTAGTATATTTCAGCTGACAACCTCAAGCCAATCCAGCGGGCTGCAACTCCCACTGCTTTTCCACTTGCTTTGCTGCTTTTCCTTTCTCTCTGAATGCAGCAGTAGTGCTGACTACTCTCAATCTTGCAGGCCAAGCCCTCATTTGGACTAGGAAGCCCCCCGGGCCTTTGGTTTGCAAGAGAGGGTCTGTTCAGGACCAGACTCTTCATGTGCTTCCACTCTCCCTTCCTTCCGCTCCCACAAGAGGGACGTGGAGAAATCTTGCCACCAGCCTCCATACTTACTTCAGATTTTGCAAATGCTCAACCAAGCATGTTTTCTGGTCAGGTAACATCTGTGCAAAAATGGTGGTTTGGACTAGTATCTGCAGAAGACATCGAGAGAGGGTGAGCTGTGCCGTTGCCTTTCTGGGAGTGGGAAACAACTAGGACGATCAGGAAAGACACTGTTGGGAAGAGCTGAGAGAGAGGCATGCCCTGCCTTTGTGGGCAGAAGGCCCAGGTGAAGTCCAGACACCCATGATCAGGGTGCCAGGTGGAGGCTCGGCTCAGCTCACCTCTCCTGTCCCCAGCACCCTTCCTGTCAGCCCAATGCCGGAAGGCAGAGAGTAGACCCAGCCTCTCGACCGGGAACGGCAATGTCCTGCAAGAAGGGTGGCTGGTCTAAGGAGAAAAGACAAGCGGACCCATTCCTGTCCCCCAGCATTACCTTGGGCAAGAGGTCTGGAAAGTACTCGCAAAGGATTGCAAAGGATTTCCCATTCAAGGCAAATGAGCACGACTGCTCTTCCTGGAAGGCATTCTCCTGCTGGTGAACATCCTGAAACAGTCCAGCACCCAACGGCTTTTGCATCTGTGCTCAGCAGCATGCGTCAGCACCAGCCTGCTTTCAATAGGCTTCTGCCCCGCCCCTCCCTCCCTCAGACACGCACACGGATATCTGGAGATCCCGATACCTTCCCCTTCTTTCTAAAAGGAAACGTGGAGCAGCTGGTGGTCCAGCCAGATGCCCAGACTTGCAAAGGTGAGACAGGCCCTTCCCCCAAAGAGCAACTGCAGTCTGAGGAGCAAGCAGCAGACGGACGGGCCAGCGGTCAAGGAGGGTTTAGCCAGGAAGAAGTCTGACCTCGACGTGCTCTGCAGGGGCATCCGAAGGAATGAAGGTGAGGGCAGCTGGCTTGCCACACCTGGGAGACGCCGCATTCACGAAAACCACGCGCTCCTGCGGCTCCATCATTTGGCAGCTTTTTGCCACGTTTACTGCTGTGAGCATGTTGTCCCCTAATACCAAAAGGGAAAGGAGACCTGAGCCTGCCGGCCAAGAAGTTCATCTCCAGCTAGAAGCCATCTGCGGTCCTCCCATGGCTCGAGGTCTTGCAGGCAGAAGAGGATTCCCCCTCTGCCACCACTTTCAGCCCCTTCTCCCTTTCTGTTACCTGTGACCATGACAGTTCGGATGCCCGCGCTGTGGAGCACGCCGATGACAGGCGCCGTCTCAGGCTTGAGGACGTTCTTCAGGACCAGGAGCCCAAGGAAGATCATGTCCTTCTCCACACAGTCTCTGTTTGCCCAAGGAGAAAGCTTCCGTCAGCGGGCCCCTTGGCAAGACCCAGAGGATCCTACGGTCGTTAAGAGATGGAAGGGCTGGCACAGCTGACCTGCTTTGTACTGAAATCCAATTGGAAGTCACTCTGTCCAGCCTCCTCTTCCAGACACCTTTTGGGAACTGTATCAACCCTAACACAATTTGAGTTTTTCTTACACCGGGGGGCGGGGGGCGGGTAAGCGGGAGGAGGGCGGAACTGGATGCAGCATTTGAATGAAAGTCCAAAAATGCAGAATATAGTAGGTTAACTACTTTCAAAATTGTATTTCTGTGGATTAAATTTAACTTTGCCTTTGACTGCACAACCACCTCATTGCAAGCTGGCTCGTATTTTGCTTGTAACGAACTACAATTCCATAATCTTTTTCACATATTCCAGGTATCCCTCAACCTGTCTTTGCATTTTATCTCTCCCGCCCCCAATGAAGAATTTTGCATTTTTCTCCATTTAGTGGTGAATTTCAGGCCATTTCTCTAGGACAAATCTTGTGGGATTTTGTTGCTGTTTTCTATCCCGTCCACGTGCGTCATCTATATGGTAAGTGTTCCCTCCATCGATTTTCCATCATTTAATGAAAATCCGGGTCATTAATAAGAATTTTAATGGTCACAGGGCTCTAGCATGCCACTGATGTGTTCGGCCAGAGCGCTCAGCGTGGCCTCCGTGCCTTCCCACGCTTAATTACCTTGGTCATCAAAATATCATGGGTACTTTATCTGTGGTATTCCCATAGTCTTCTAAGGAGGTCACCCAAAGAGTGAAATGATGAGTTTGCCAGGGAGAACTCTGGAACCCAGGCTGGTATGACAGAAGTGCAAGGAGACGGAAGTCCACCCACCCACCTGGTCACATTCTGGGCTTCTTCAAAGCTCCCAACGGCCACAAAGGGCTTATAAGCAAGCCCCAGAACACGGAATCCATCGCTCGTGAACCGATGCAGCTCCTGGGAAAAGTCCTGCGGGACTGCAAGGCCGAGAGACAAGAGCAACCATTTAGGAAGAGGGAAACCCACACTCGCAAGACCTGAAGAAGAGGTCCCGCCCTGCCCCCGGGATCGCACTGGACTCCTCTCCCAAGGCAATGCTGAACCTCCCAGGGACTCCTTAGCCAAACACCCCCCTCTGGGACGGTTCAGCAGAGAGCAAGCCGGGGATGAGCACAGGCACCTGATTCTCTCTTGCAGAGGCTGACCACTGTCTCCGGAGCTCCCTTCATGAAAGCCTCCACGGGGCTGTTGCCTGGAGCCTTCCCCAGAACACTCATCCTCCGCAGAGCTGAGGAAAATGGGAAGCGGCAGAGGACAGCCATGGGGACAGCATGCTTCTGTGGAAGAGATGCCACGGCTGAGCCCCTGAAAGCAGCCAGGAGAACGGGATGGCTTCTGCGGGGCCAGCTTGTCTTTAGCCTTTTGCCTTGCGAGGCAGGTGAGAGACAGCGGGCCAGATCTTCCTCTCCTAGACGCTCTGCAAGCCACCTTTGCCCAAGTGGCCTCCTGTGCTGCGCTCAGCCTCCTCTGAGGAAGGTCACGGCTGCAGCGTCCCTGTCACTCACCACGCTGGGAGGCTGCTCTCTCAGGAGCGGAGGAGTCATGACAAGCAGGGCTCTGGTCCCAAAATCCGAGGCCAGGCAGGCCTCCACCTCAGGCCCTTCGGTTTCCACCAGAGACTGGAAGAAGCAAAGAGGAGGCTGAGAAAACCAGGCGCTCTGCCCTTTGCAGTCTTCCCCTGCAGGAAGGGGCTGCCTTGTCCCGCGATAAGCAGGTCTGCACCTCGAGTGGACTCCAGGCTAAATCTTAGGAATGGGATTGGGGAGCAGGGCTTACAGTGGCAAAGAGGACCAGAATCTTTTTCTGTTCCTGAAAAGAGAACAACTGAAAGGGGCGGCGACTGGACCCGGAGTCACGTAGGATGCCGATTCTTCCCTCTTCAGCAAACGGGACAAACCCCTCACCCTTTCTCCCATTTGTGTCCACGTGGGAGAATATGGTCAAACTGGTAGGCAACCCTGGAAATGAGTGTCCACGTTCCCCAAACGACAAGGCGCGTTTCTTTCTCACCCATCCTGTAGACTCCAGCACCCGAAGATCCACTGGGTCACCTACAGGCTGATCTCCAAACAGAGAGAGGGTGTGGCAAGTGGCCAGGCAGCGGAGCAGTGGCCCGTCAGTCAGGCGGCGCAGCTCACGGACGATGGGCAGGAAAGAGTTGTTTGCCTGGGGAACGACTCCCCAGACGTCCATGCCGTCAGCGGTGAGGGTCCCTGTCTGGGAGGGAATCCCAACCGAGTGAGGGTGCGGCTGAGATCCTTGGCCAGGCAGCCCGGGACCCAGTTCTCTTCCAGCGGTCTCACCTTGTCAAAGCAAACCAGGCGCACCTTCCCACAGAGGTCGATGCGCTGGGGACTGACGCAGAAGATGCCCTGGCGTTTCAGCCGATCTTGGGCGTACATGGTGCCGATCGTCATTGCAGCTGGCAAGACCGGGGGGACAACCACTGTCACAATGTCCAGAGCACGGAGGGCTATCAACCACGCAGAAACCTGCCAATGGCAACTGCGTGAGAAACTCAGATTGGTGCAATGGCTTCCCAGCTACCCAGAAAGGCCAACAGAGACCGAAACAATTGCGTTAAGGTTCTTTGATGATTGGTGCCAAAGCTTCCAGATGGGGAAGGCCAGTCACATCCGATCCCATTGAAAGAGTATTCCTCTTTGTGCCTGCCTGGCCTCCAGACCTGCTGCCATCCTTGCCATCCGAGAGCTGACTGCAGGCACCCCCGATAGCGGAGGCTTGATGAGCGGCTGGCCGAAGAGGGCCTCTTCCCTTGGGGCCACCTCTCTGTCACCCAAGCTGCGAGGGCTGCGTGTTCTGGCACAGAGACCGTCCATCGTCTGCAGCGGTGCTCAGCTGGAGGCCTGGGGTGCAGGGGGAGGTGGTGAGGGGGACGCTGAGGCCTTCCGGCACCGGACTTACCTGGTGTCTCCTTAAGATGATGATGCTGTAGACTGTTCCAACGGAGGCTGGAGGGAAGAGAAATGAAAGTCTTGGGACCCCAGCAAACAAGGCCAAACGAGCATCAAAGGAGCCAACGGAAGCCCACAAGGACAGAGCTGAGGCAGAAGAATAAGCCGGCCCGAAGAACTTCCAGTTAGACGAGGGAAAGAAGGCGCAAGGCCCAAAAGGCAGGAGATGTTGCGGAGAAGTGGCCAGAGGCTGAAGGGCCCAGCAGCTGCTCAGCTGTGGTGGGAGCAGCAGAAGTTTCTGTGCCGCGTGGGACGTGCTGAGGACGGAGAACAGGAATGGCAGCAGCTTGCTTTTATTCAAACTCCCGGTAATGCAGTGCGGCGATCCCAGCAGAAACTAATCGACTTGCACCCCGAACACCTAAACGTGCTTAGAGAAAGTCGGCCAGCCAAGCTCCAGATGGGCTGCTGGGTGATGAAAACCGTGGAAGCTCTCTGCTTTTCTGAAGCACCGTCTGTAACCATGCCCTGTCCAAGACAGGCTTGAGTTCTGCCTTCCTGAACTTCTTGGCTCAAACCAGTGATAGCGGTGAGGCACCCTAACCCTGTCCTGACTCTTGAGATGGGAGTATTTTAAACCTACAGAGGATGGCATCTTTCCGCATCTCTAAAACTGGAGCCCCTCAAACTAGAAGGAACAGCTGGTGCCTTTTCCTATCTTTTGAAACCGTGTCTCGACTTACCCAAGATTGCAAGGAAGGCGACAAACTTCCAAGCATCGTTATGAAACCTGAGTTTCAGTGGCTTGGGGTGAAGGATGGAGCTGATGAGATCCCCTTTGGCTGTGCAGAAGCCTGGAGGGGGAAAAAGGAAGAAAGCAAGGCTGGCGTGAGACCTGGGCAGACACTTCAGGAGACCCACAGGGAGCAGACGAAGGAAAGTGGAATGCATTTGTGATGTGCGCATCTCACGGTCAGCTGTCTTGTCTGAAAACTTGGGGCAAAGAATGGGTCTGACTCTTGTTTATCCTTTTGCAAGTAACAATGATGTTTTCATGCAAGGGGTGACAGAAAAAAGCCTGAGATGCAGTTGAATTACTTGTCATAGACTAGCAACAGCTGCAGACTCCCACTAGTTTAATTAGTAAGCAAATTAGAAAGAACACAGTTGTTTCTTCTTTCTCTCCCTGTGCCTGGCCTGGGGTCACTCATTTTTCAGACCTGGCAAACCCTCCTGTAAAATGAGAGTGTGAGCTGGTTGTTTGGACTGTATCTTTATTTTTATGGAGCTCTGAGTTCAAAACTCTGAGCTGTGCTACCTCCCCTCAAAACTAATGGAACTGAGTGGGTTGAACCACACACAGAGCTCTGGAGATGAATCTTAGGTTTTCAGCCAAAACGAAATGTACCTGACATGCTGGAAGTCTGCCCACTCTTGTGCTACAGGATGGTGGTGGCAGCCTCAGGCAATGGCCGTTCAACTTCTGCAGTGCAACTGTGCGAGGAGAGGATGGACCCTCCCACAGAAAACACAGTTGCCCACAGAGTCCTGACTTAATCCTGCTCTTTTGAAGTGCCTCACTGGACAGCCCGGTAGCCTCCCTGGGTGCTCCCTAGGACAGGCTCAGCACAAAGAAACGCTAGCGGTGGGTGGGAGGAGAAGCATCCCGAACCACACTCACCAGTGCGGGTCACAACTGCAAGGATGTCGGTGTCTCCAAAGGATCGGGCCTGGATGACCCGCGTCCCACAGAACAGGGTGTGTCGCTTGTGATCTTCGGAGGAATAGGTGGTGCCGGCCATTTCTGGGCTTTTGGGCAAAGGGGTCTTCAGGACTGGCGTGCTCTCCCCTAGGAAAAAGCAGATGAGTTAACTGCTGGGGAGCTCAAAGGAAAACGTGTTCAACATAACATAAAAGCTTTGAAAGCATGCTGAGCCAGCTGGTGCCCGAGTGCCGTTGAAGGCTCTGCAAGCAGGAACGCACCGACCAGCGGCCGCCTGGAAGGGACTGCAGTTCAGGGCCCAGGCAGGTCACGATGGGCCAGCTGCCCCAGGCTGTCTGGGGCTTTAAAGGAACAAGCAGCCTCGGCTGCCCACCGGTTTCCCCCCCCCCCCCCCCCGGCTTACCAGTCAGAAGGCTTTCGTTGACCATGCACTCGCCATTCAGCAACACGGCATCGCAGGGGACCAGCATCCCTTCTGGGCCTGGAGAGACCACCAGGACATCCCCTGGCACAAGGCTTGTGGAATTCACCATCGGTGTCTCTGTCACCCAAGAAAGCAAGGAGGTCAGTCTGTGCCAGCCCCAAGGGCAGCGCTTCTTGGGAGCAACCCTCGCGGGAGGTTCTGCCCCCTCCCCAGCTGCCCACCCACCGGTTGTGTCTTGTCCCTCGAGGCACCTGCGTTCCCAACCAGAGTGCCGCCTGCCTGATGTCAGTCCTGCCTGAGGACTTTCTGGAAGACCTCAGAGAGCCCGTGGAGCCCTGCCAGAAGGGCCACCTGGCAACCGCAGAGCTGTGCCAGGCCCTCCTTGGCCCTCGGAAGCACATCTCCCTTTTCCAGCTCCTCTTGGCAGGAATGGAGATGGGAGGAAAGGGGTTCATTCTGGGCAGCTGGATTCGACTATCCTGTTTGAGGGATCAGTGGGGTTTCACGACGGTGCCTCAGTTCCCAGCTGTTGCTGCACGGGGCTCCTGAGACCAAGGGGCTGCTTGGAGAGGCCTTGCATTTGGCCCCCCGAAGGGGCAAATAGATATCAAGACAGTGTGCAATGGGAAGGAGGACAAGGCGAATGAACACACCGCAGAGAAGCACAGCCTAGCAGAAAGATACCAGGGCGTCTAGAACCGTGAGTGACCGCTTACGACCCGGGCCTTCAGGGCGGAGCTGCTCTTGAGATCTGCCTGAGAGAGCAACGTGCGTTTGCTGGCAGCGGCTCACTCACCTCCAGACGCTCGGCAGACCTGCACGCTGGTCACCACCTTGGCCATGTCCCGGAGCGTTCTGTTTTGCTGAAGGAACCAAGGGATCTGTAAAAGCACCCGCGAGAGCGAAGCAGCCTCCGCCGCCGCCACAGGAGGAGGGGGCCGCAGGGCCTCTGTTGCCCCTCCCAGCCCTTGTTCCCACTGCTGCGGCAGACCTGTGGCCAGCACCCACCTTTCTTGTGGTGTAGAGGGACAGACTTATCGAGATGACGGACATGATAAAGATGCAGGCAGCAAAATAATAATAATCTTCACAGATCCACAAGGCGATGCTTAACAGTTGAAAAAGGTAGAACAGATTCAAGATCTGCAAGATGGGGGGAGGACAGGAAGTGGGCAAGTTTAGCGTTTCATCGGTACTTCAACCTCCACGGTTTCAGTCTCTGCAGAGACCCCTCCACCCCCAGCAATTGAGCCCCCATGGCACGCAGGGTGGGCCAGCCTATCGTTAGCAGGACAAGCTGGAAAGCCCTCCCCTTGCCCATCACCGTAGAGAATGTCCTGGGACCGAGAAAAATGGCCTGCAGACGCTCTTCACGCGTCCCTCTTTGCAGAACTATAGAACACGTTTAACAGGGACCGGAATATCTGTAATTCACGAAATAGTAACCCAAACGCTGCGCTGACGATTCAGAATCGCCCCTTTTAAAATGTTTTTTAATTCTTAATTTTCACCTTTGTAACTTCTTTGTTTGATTGTTGTGAGCCGCCAGAGTGGTTGGGAGTCAGGTGGCATACAAGTTTAATCGGTTATTACTGTGAGTTATTGTTCCCTCTGTTGTTGTTCTCTCTGTTTGCAAAGCCAGACATGCAGGGACAGAAGCGGAAGCCTCTACGCGCCCTTCCGGCCGAGGACAGCATCCGAGCAGGCCAGCCCCGATCTACCGGTATGGTCTGAGGACGGGCAAGGGGATGGGCTCTCCTGTCCACAGCGGGCTGAACTACAGCTTACCTCATCCATCAGCAGCCGGAGGTACGACTTCATTGGTATGTCAATCAGGTTTGGTCCGTAAACCACCTTTCTGTGAACAGTGTACAAGAAACACATTAGCTAGTTTTAGGAAAGCTGCGGCTGTCCTAGGACCGAAAGCCCACTTTTCAAAGCCAGCCAATGTCTTTAAAAATCAAAGATTCAGTGTAGGAAATGTGCAGTCCCCTTCCCATCAGCTCCCTGCTACTTCCTCATATCAAAAAAGGTTTAAATTTTGGGGGTTTAAGATTGTGGGGAACTCTGGTGGAGGGGAATTTGGCAGTTATTAGTCAGCTCTTGAAGCTCGGTGTGAACAGCCCGCAAGCTTCAAATCCCCGTAAGGTTGCCCTGATCCAGGAGATGAGACCCCAAAAGTCCCCTCTGGGCCAGCTGTCCGCCACTGCCGTGCTGCAACAGCGAGGCCCTCAAAGCAGGGAGACCCCTCTGGGAGCGGCAGGTGGATTTTAATGAGGCTTGGTACAGCTCTCCTTTTTACTAAGGTAGAAAGAAAAAGGGAATGATTTCAGCCAGTCTTGCAAGAGCCTTTCTTTCAAACGATCGCCACAGAAATTGGGTTACCGCAGTGCTAAAGGAGGGAAATACTTTTCCCCCTCCCTCTCAGCGGAGGGCTGCGCTTCCTTACCTGGCAGACTGCTCCTGGACACTCAGGCCACGGCAGAAGAGATGGATATCGGAACACGTCCATGCTTCGTCTAGCGTGCTGCAAAACGTGGAGAAGGAAAGGGACGGGCTGCATTTGTTCTCGGAGGCCAAGTGCTGGCTGGCCCGCCCGCGCTCCTGAGGCCCAGGGGCTGGTCAGCTGAACCAGGGTTGGGCGAGTCCACTGCCAGGGCAGGAAGAAAGCCTCTGGCGCAGAGGGGCGTGAGCGACTCCTCACCTGGCCTTGCAGTAGGCCTGGCGTTTCTCCACCCAGAGATAGCGCACGCCTTCGAAGATGTAATAGCGCAGGACATTTTTCTGAAGGGAAGAGAGGAATGGGCTAGAAAAGCCTGCTGTCGAAGCAGCAGCAAAAGAGCAGGGAGGTGGGGAAGGGGCCCGGGTGGTCCAAGGGGCTGGCCCTGGCTGGAGGAGCCTCGGAGAGCCCGGCAGGGAAGCTGCCTGCTTCGTCCGCCCAGCCCGCTTTGTGGCAGGGACAGCATTCGCGCCACTGCCGAACGGGGCTGTCGCCTGAACTTTAGGGAGACGTGCCCGTTCGCAGGGCAGCCTAGTCGGGAGACCGCATTGGCAGGCTGCTCCAAACGGACCAGGGTCGTCCAGCCTGGGGGTGCCGACCTCTTCCTTCCGGTGCAGCCGTATTGTGTCCTGGCTTCCCGTTTGGCCATCCGAAACGCCCACGGCAACGCTGCTTCTCCCATCGTCTCTTCCACCCGTCTCTTCGAGGCTTCCCGAGAAAAGGGAGGAGGGGGCACAAGACATCCCAGAAATCAGGAAGGTGATGGCCGTTCTCTTTTAAGAGGACCGACCGTGTGAGGTCAGGAGCAAGCGCAGGGGCAGTCCAAGTAATCAGACTCGAAGCTCTGGATCCTTCGACCCGAGGGAGGGTTAGGGCTGCGATGGCTCAGTGCAGAAGCACCACCCCCAGCTGCTCCTCTCATTTCCGCATGAAGCCTCGGAGCGCTCCGTATTGGCAGCAACCAATGTCTCTCTCCATACTGACTTGTTAGGGTTCCCCCAGCCCCCCCCTTCAGGGAAATCCACAGAAAGTCTTGCTCACCTGCTTTCCTCCATCTGCTCTGTTTGGACCCTGGCTGTGAAATACCGTCCCAGCTGATCCTAGAAAAATACGATGAAGACTGCTTAAAGACCAGAAGTCCATCTTGCGTGAGCGTATCAAGAGATGGGTCGACCTCCTCAATTGTCACTGCAGCCCGTGTTTCTGCCCTGGGAGCTGCCACGATTACCCAGGCACCTGCTCCGGTGCCCAGGCCAGCCAGGGTCCTGCTCCCCTCTGCCACTTACTTGGAAGACCACCTGATCGGCCTGGTGGAGGGGGCAGCGCGTGCATTTGGCACTGACTTCCAGGTGTGGCTTCCAGTGAAAGATGATGAGTGGGATCCCCAGCGTGAGCACAGAGAAGAAGTGGCAGAGGACAATCTTCCATGTTTTTCTCTGGTAACCCTTCACTTCCTGGGGAGTGAAGAAGCGAGACTGGCTGGTCACTCACCACCCCCGTCCCCCCTCCCTCTGCAAAAGCAGAGGAGTATCCCTGAGAAGCACTGGAAGACCGATGTTGGCCGGCCCCCGTCTTTGGAAGGGCTCCCTTCCGATTCCTTGTCACGATTCTCCTGCTTGGGCCTCCGACCGCCCCCTCCTCCTCCCCAGCCTCAAAGGTGCCCTCTCCTTACTGTGGAAGGTTTACAGGGGCTCTGCTCCAGAGAATGGTAATTCAGCTGCGGGTCTCCCGACAGGCTGCTGCTACCTGACAAAGGAGAGGAAGCAAAAATCTCACCACCGTGTCAAGACGGAACTCAAGATGCTTCATTCTTTGCTTGATTGTGACCCTAAGCTTTTTGAGAGTCCTGCCTAAAACATCTGTTCTCCCTCGTTGTGCTAAGCTTCAGCTCCAAGGCAGCAAAGGAGGCCTGAATTTCAGTGGAAGAGGCCAACACTTTGAGATCAATTAGCTTGCAGAGGAACGAGGAGCCAAGGCTTGCTCTTGTACAGTCCCAGCTGCAAGACGGGCAGACGGGTTTCTCGGCCCGAGTGGGAAGAGGAGTCTTGGGACGGGACAGGCGCGGTGCACAGGGAGTTGCTGACTGGTCCCTTTTGGCTTCACGCTGAGGTTTTGGAGGCAGAAGGAGCCCCGCCACAAATGTGCATGTGGGGCCTATAAGGAAGCACCATCTTCCTTGCCCCATCAGTGTTAGAGTGGTAATACTCTGGGCACAGATCTGGCTGTTTCATCATTCTTCAAGGACCAGCTGGGCTGAAGGTGCCAGGTGTAACATCAGCAGTCATGGGGGCAGGCCCCCAGAGGCCCACGTCATCTGGATTTGTATGCTGAATGAAATCGGCTGCATTTCAAAAAGCAATCGCTCCAGCAAGGGGGAAGCAGGAAGGTTTTTTAAAAAAAAGATGGAAGACACCCTTAATGCTCCCCAAACCTAAGCGAACTTATCTTAATGCCAAGATAAATTGAGTGTCTGCTCCAGCCCTTCATACGTAGACTCAGTTTGGCCACAGCCTCCCAGTTTTTGGGCCATGTGGTGCCTGTTGGAGCACTGACCCTCCCTTCCACTGGACGGATCCTGCAGGTTGCACGAGACACAGAGCGGAGCTGGCCCTGAGCAGGGAGCACTAGCTGGGGGTTTGGCTCAGTTACTTCCTCCCCTCCTGACCTCCCTTCTCTTCGAAACCTCTTTCTTCTTCTCTTACCGGGCAAGATCCTGGCCCGTTCAGTAGCCTCCATTGGACAATCCAGCCTGATAAAAAAATCCTTGAGGGAATTTGATTCTTAGACCCAACAGTTGCTAGAAACAGCCAGTCGGGACAAGCGATTCTGCCGCAGGAGAGGCGTCTCTTGGCTGCCGGCGCGGAGAGAAGCCGCAGCGGTGCCTGCCTTGCCCTTGGTGGGGGGTCACAGCCGGGGGCCGAAGCAGACCCTTCGGTCAGGTTCGCTTGGCATCCTTCTCCTGGCAGGCCGGCCAGCCAGCCCGCCTCTGCCCCGCTCGCATGCCTGGGACTTTCCGAAGGTGAGTGTGCTGGACAGTACGCTGGCGCCTGCGCAGGGCGAAGAGAGCAGAAGCTGCCCGGGGTGCAGGGAGCCGGCGGGATGGGAATCC